TAAATGTTAAACAGCCCGTTAAAATACACCAGAATGCAGGAAATGGCATCTACTTTATTCAAAATTTTCTGTTAAACTGATGTAAATGATTTTAATTATGTCATGATCTAAAGTGGGCCACTCTGAGGCTGAAACTCCAGGGCTGAAAATGAGTCCCACTCTGGCCCTGGTTCCAGGTAAAAATGGCTTGACCATTTGTTGATTTCTAGGGAACTGGAGAAATACAGAAAAGCATGGCTAATGTTCTGTCTTTATTCACATAAGGTAAAATGTTCTTTAAATCTTTTTTGCTTGTTTGTTTCTTGAATACCCGATTTGAATACTCTGTACTTATAGTTCTTTGGTAGAATTTCGGACTAATGGTAAGTGATACTCGATGTTTTATTTATTTTTGGACTAATAAGTGACACTCAACGTTTTTATTTTTGGATTAATGATAAGTCATACTCTAGATGTTTTATTTATGCTGGAATATATATATATATATATATATATATATATATATATATATATATATATATATATTATTCTTACAGGTGCATTTTCTATGGAGCTGTTATTACTGTGCTAAAGGAGTTTGGGCTAGGAAGTTAAAGTTATTTGGGCTCTAGACGGATCATTTGTTTATCAACACGGTGGATGCACGCAGCCGTAGTGCAGAAAGAGCCGGTGTCTTGTGCAAAATTTTGTTCCCCTTTATCAAGAGAGCGCACAGAGGCGTCCATCTTCACAGCTCTTCTGACAGATTTCTTGGTATTTAAAACTATAAATACACTCGATGTCTTGGTGGCTGACTGATATTTGTCAGGCTAAAGTGAACATGACAAGTTGACTGATGAAGTCTTCTGGATGGAAGGTGAAACGTTTCAGAAAAAAAAAAAGAAACTTTCCAGATGACCTGACTGAAAATTGTTGGATTGTATACCTGGATTATTGAGCATGGACTTTTTTGGTTTTTTGAACATGACAAGTTGTATTAAAAAAAGACACAAAAAAACAACAAAAAAACAAAACTGTAAGTAAACCCCCCCACAAGACCAGGTTTATTGGTTGCTTATTTGAGGTTTTATATTTATTTATTTATTACCAGGACCTGTTGATTAAAATGAAAGTTACATCCGTGACAGATTGTGACTCGTTTTACTGAGAAATCTATGAGAAGCGCATTGAACAGTCAGACCCGCCTCTGTGCGCTTTATTTTTATTTGATACATTTTATTACATGATGTTGAAAAGGTGAATATGTGCTGCTCATTACATCTTAAGAAGAACCATGCATACTGTTATGAAGTTCAGCTTCACAGCGTGTGGTCCAGTCCTGTGGACCAGCAGGACTCACTGGTGCAGCCAGAGATGATCACATGATGAACACAGTCCTCCACATACATGAACAATTATTCATACAAAGTAATGTTGTAAAAGAACTAAAAGAAAGAAGCTAAAAACAATCCACTTTGACACATATTGTTTATTGTAACTTTTCCTTTTAACGTTCAGTTTTAACTTTTTCCTTCAAATCACTGTGTGAACGTTTAAAAAAAAAATGGTTATTTTGTTGTTACTTTTTAATGGCATTACTTATGAACAAACAATAAATAAAAAGTTTTTGATGTATCCTTAACTTTTGAATACTTGTACAAGACATTTACAGTTTATTTTCTAGGGACTATACATCCCTAATGTTTAACGCTGCACACAGTTACTCTGTCCTCTAATAGATTAGAGGTTTCAAAGTCTGAGACATAACAGGGAGACAACTTATCACAATGTTGGAAATGTCACATTCAGTAACATTAAATCTGAATGTATTATCCTTATTGGTGAGCCCTAAACGCAGTTTTCATGAGGATGGCCAATATGGTCCATTGTTTGTACATCTGCTGGGGGTTTCATCCCTTCATCTTTTTCTCTTGTAGCTGAGACACAGAAGAGAACAATCATTAGGTAGAGCAGGAAAGCATCACTTTGTTAAACACAGGTTCATTACAGCCTCAGTTCAAGTCAGTAATCTTCTATTTACCGCTCCAATTTTCCATCGCGGTCTTTGCCCAACTTTGTAGAGTAGAAGATGGACGTGACAAAGTCAGGACTGTCGATGTCTTCAGAGGCCACTCCTGTACAAATAAAGTGTATTCCAGTGACTGACGTTAATGAAACAGCACACGGTTGGCCAGCGCTAACTGGTATAGCATGTGTTAGCATACAACTTTAAACAGTAACAACAAATGATTAGCAACTCCACTCAGCATCACTGAACTGATGCCCCTTTTGCACTGCCCCTAATCAGCCCCAACTCTGCTCAGCCCTGCACACCCCTACTCAGCCTGGCTCAGCTCAGCCTGGCTCAGCTCAGCCTGGCTCAGCT